GATATTGGGCTTTTTTTTAATGCTCCCCCAGATGTGTTCGATTGACGATGACAGTCAATATAAGGCCGTCGATGTGGAACAGAAACCAGAATCACGCGAGGGTTCCTTCAAATCTACACCGTTGGATGAAGCCAAATCGACGGTTTCCATTGATTCAGTAGAGAAAAAGATGACAGCAGCCATGCCGCCGGTGGCTCAGAAGAAATCGGAGGAATTGCCGGCGAAGCAATTCGACATGTCGAAACGGTTGTCGTGCAAATGGTCGACAGGAGCCGGACCTAGGATTGGGTGTGTTCGGGACTACCCAGCTGAGCTACAAACGAGAGCACTGGAACATGTCAACTTGTCACCTCGGGTGGGCTCTGGGCCGTTGGTTAATTATGGGCCCATTCCTTCTCCACGTCCAAGCCCAAAAATTAGGCTCTCACCAAGGCTGGCTTATATGGGCCTTCCCAGCCCAAGAACTCCAATCCCTACAGCCAGTTAGGCCCAAAATCGTTTTGCTAGCTCGGCCCAACAATAGCTGGAAATAGTCGATCCAATTGTTTCATTCTTTGTTTTTTTAAAAAATAATATTCTTCAATTTTTATTAGGGGGCCTAATTGAGAGCCAAAGAGTAATTTGATTTGGCTCGAGGTTATTGTTACATCAATTTTTATTGTTAAAAGAATAAGGTTGAGTTCTCAATAATCTCATGGTTGTATTCTAAAAAATTAATGTTAGATCCTTAATTCATATGAAAATTAAATTATTAATGCATCAACGAAGGAAGCAAAATTAACGAGCCGCTTAATGTTTGACCAACCACTGAGAAGAGAGGAGGGAAGGTGTGAGATCCCACATCGATTCGAGAGGGGAACTAAGCATTCTTTTTAAGGGTGTGGAAACCTCTCCCCAGTAGACGCATTTTAGAAACCATGAAGCTGACGACATGTAAAGGGCAAAATTGGACAATATTTACCAGCGGTGGGCTTTAGCCGTTACAAATGGTATCAGAGCAAGACACCTTAGGGGTGTGCCAGCGGGGATGCTGACCTCCAAGGTGTGGATTGTGAGATCCTACGTCGATTGGAGAGGGGAACTAAATCATTCCTTATAAGGGTATGAAAACCTCTCTAAGGCTGACGACAATACGTAACGGTCCAAAGCGGATAATTTATACTAGTGGTGGGTTTGGAGGCGAATTGTGAGATCCCACATCGGTGGGCTTAAACGGTTTACACGGGTTGAATCTGAAGGACGGAGGGAGAGATCATACACAACTTAGTGTAGTGATTCATAAGGAGGAGGAGCAGCAGCAGGGATCCAAAGCTCAAGGAAAAGGGCAGTGTGGTATCAATGTCTTCAACAAACAAGCTTCATTTAGAGAGGTAATCAAAGGTTTTGTGCAATTCAAACCATATGATGTATAGCCAATGCTTGAAAGTCTCAGCAGGGATGAGCCACTCTTTACCCACTCATTCATAACAAGCTGTTTCATGAAACAAAACAGTTGAACTCAAGACAATTCTCATCAGACCCATCATGGTAGATTCAAGATCCCAATTCTTAAGCTGGAAAACCAGACACCCTCAAATTGAAACAATGGAGAAGACGGGTCATACTGTAAGCACACAAGAAGCAGTGGTTTGGTTTGGTTTCTAAGAACTAAAATGGATTTCAGCAGGAACACTCAAACAAGTGATATCAGATCATAAAGAACAAAGAATTCTGTACTTCCAGCAGTAATTACACATTCAGAGAGATTCATAAACCATAACATAACGAAACAAATGAATGGATTTCAGAACTGTAAGCTAATAATTAAGCAACAAAGAGTGTGGAGGAAAATTCTGGTACCAATTTAAGCCGCTGGCTACCATCCAAACACAGCACGAGAGCATTGTTCCTTGAACCATCTGAAGCTCTTTCTTAGAGATCCTTTGACTTTGCCTTCCACAGAATAAACCTTGTAGCTAGCAACCCTTTTCTTTCTCTGAATCTCAGGATCGTTGAAACTCCAACTCTTCGACGAAAATCCGTTCGTCGATTTCCCTTTCTTGAGCTTCAAATCGTTAGCCATCTGCGTTTGATTAGGGTTCCCAGACGAAGCATACGAAGCACTGTAACAACGAAAATCTCCGCCGGAAACATTACCTCCTCTTGCTTCGTTTCCATTGTAGCTCTCAATCTGCATCCTCCCATCCGTATATGAGTTCGATTTGAAATCCGCCATGGTAGATTGAAGATCCGAGACTTTGAGCTTCGATGCTCTCGAAGATCTCGCTCCCTTTCTCGCACAAAAAATTCAACGAGAATGGACTTGTGCAAATAGGAGGTTGAATTGAAAGCCCTTTGATAATCTTTGGAAGAACCGAATTGGAACAGCGACCAAATTCTTTGACCATTGTTCAAAACCCAGAATTTAGGCAGGTTCGTTGTCTCTAATTAATAATAATTATTATTATTATCATTTACCAAAAGGTTGATCTCTAATTTATTTAAATACTTTATAGCAAGTAACTCAATTTATATTCGCTGATTCATTATGAAGGTGTGAAAATCTTTCTCTAACCGTATTCATAGTTTGTACTATTACAAATGATATCATAACTAGACACTAGAGCGAGTTAGGACTCTAGACGGGAACAAAACATTCCTTATTCCTTATAAGGATTACGTGTTTTAAAATCTTGAGCGTGCGATCGAGTACGCTATAGAGAACCTTCTTTATTCTGACTTGTTTTAAAACTATGATGGAAAACCCAAAGAGGACACGATGGGCTCGTTACCGTCCTTCCTACAAAAATAAATCTTTAAAAATGGAAAAAAATTGTTATAACATAATGCATAAATTATTGGAAGTAATTTTAATAATAGGATAAGTAGAGTTGGACAATATTGGAAGTAATTCTAATGAATATTTCAAAAGAAAAAAAATATAATTATATTAATAAAAAGAAACCCGAAATAAGGGCAAATTTTCTGAGGCCCAACCCAGTACAAAAGCCCATTTTCTGAGGCCCAAACTAGTAGAAAAGGTCTCCTCGTAATGCACGAAAGCCCATTTTCTGAGGCCCAAAGCAGTAGAAAAGGCCTCCTCGCAATTCACGAAAGCCCAATTTATGAGGCCCAAGGCAGTAGAAAAGGCCTCCTCGCAATTCACAAAAGCCCAATTTCTGAGGCCCAAAGCAGTAGAAAAGGCCTCATTGTAATTCACGAAAGCCCATTTTCTGAGGCCCAAAGCAGTAGAAAAGGCCTCCTCGCGACCAGAAATTGAGAAATGGACTTTGAACAGAGAACCCTAATAAACCATTTCCTTTCCACTCGCACCCACTTAGGATCTGATTCTCTCGTCCCACAAGTTTCTTCTCCAGCTCATTCTCTCATTCAGGTGCTTCCTTTCTTCCTCTTCCTTCTCTCATCTCATTCCAACTCAGTGTATTTTTTGATTTCCTAATCTGTCTTAGATCCTTCTTCGTTTCCTTTATTTGGTTTTTGAGTTACGTTTCGCATTGGATTGTAAGGAATTGATTGTTTTAGGCTTTATGATTATGCGGTATTTGACGATCTGCTGATTGTCTAGTGTGTTGTTATTGTTTATGAATGTTTTCTGGCTTTGAAATATATGCTGGTTCCATGCCATCGGGGTTTTTTTTTGGACGGATTTTAAAGAGTGCGGTTTCTCAGGTAATTCGGATCAAGTGCGACGATTTTGATTGATTGATTGTCACAGTTGAGATTTTGTTGAGATGGACGATAACAATCGTTCTTCAGGACCTCCGAAGGATAATCCAGATCATGGAAATCAAGCAGGCCAAATTACCAAGGATGATAGCAGCTCATTGGAGAACATGGCTCAGAGGTTTCAAGATTCTTTGTCCACTAGCAAAAGGCACAAATTCTGGGAAACTCAACCTGTTGGACAATTCAAGGACATCGGTGATTCTAGTTTGCCCGATGGTCCAATTGAACCACCAACTCCATTATCTGAGGTCAAACAAGAGCCTTATAATCTTCCTAATTCATATGAATGGACCACTTGTGACATGAGCTCTGAAGAGATTTGTATTGAGGTTTACAATCTCTTGAAGAATAATTATGTTGAAGATGATGAAAATTTGTTTAGATTCAACTATTCCAAGGAATTTCTTGGATGGGCTTTGAGACCTCCGGGGTATTTCACAAGCTGGCATATTGGTGTTCGTGCTAAAGCTTCTAAGAAATTGGTTGCTTTCATCAGTGGTATCCCTGCCAGGATTCGGGTGCGCGACGAAGTCGTGAAGATGGCAGAGATCAATTTCTTATGTGTTCACAAGAAGCTTAGATCAAAGAGACTTGCACCTGTTATGATCAAAGAGGTGACAAGGAGGGTTCACCTGGAAAATATATGGCAAGCGGCTTATACCGCTGGAGTTGTTCTTCCGACCCCAATTACAACTTGCCAATACTGGCATAGATCCTTAAACCCAAAGAAGCTAATTGATGTTGGGTTCTCAAGGCTGGGGGCAAGGATGACGATGAGCCGGACCATAAAGCTTTACAAGTTACCTGATTCACCGGTTACCCCCGGGTTTCGAAAAATGGAACGTCGAGATGTCCCTGCCGTTACTCGGTTGCTTAGAATTTATTTGAGGCAGTTTGATGTTGCTCCAGATTTTGATGAATCTGATGTAGAACATTGGCTTCTTCCTAAGGAGAGCGTAGTAGATAGTTTCTTGGTTGAGAGTCCGGACAGCCATGTGATCACTGACTTCTGCAGCTTCTACACTCTTCCTTCATCCATTCTTGGGAACCAAACATACTCAACCTTGAAGGCCGCCTATTCCTATTATAATGTCTCCACCAAAACTCCATTGTTGCAGTTGATGAATGATGCTCTTATTGTTGCAAAACAGAAAGATTTTGATGTCTTCAATGCATTGGATGTCATGGAGAATGAATCCGTCCTGAAGGAACTAAAATTCGGTCCGGGTGACGGGCAACTTCACTATTACCTGTATAATTATCGGATTCGGCACGCGTTGAAACCAAGTGAACTTGGGCTTGTACTGCTATAGTTGGATTTGTTACTGGTTTGGTTTGAATTGTGAACAGAAAATATTGGTCATTTTTTAATGGTGGCTTGGTTTGCTGATGCATTTTAGCTTTGTTTTGTTCGTCTTGTGTCAACAGCAAAGAGCACTAAACACTAAACGTCAGGAGTATGAGAGGGAACTTTGCCGGATAATGTAAAATGTTTTGCAGGTTTTTCACTGAATTATCCTTTTATTTTTGGCCCATCATCGCAGGATTTGCAGGTGCAGCCTGTTTGTATTATGAATTGCATACACTTTTTTATACTTGCATGGCCCAGCATGTGCTTTATTGCTTGTTCATTGCTATGATCAGATGTCCATTCCATGTACTCCATTGATGAATAAGGGAACTTTCCTTAAGTGAATCATTTTTACTTGATTATCTTCCAACTATTAGATTTAGCTTGAAGGTTCTTATTCATTTCATCGATTAAATCCTTTAAGATGCATCGACTCAAACATATCAGGTTTATTTTTGCTTTGTAAGAACTCGAATAATATGTATTTAGAAGCATTTGGTCCTAGATTTGGATAGAAATGTTTGTACACTTATAATAACCTATGCAAAATATCCGATTAAAATTAGTGAGTTGACCATTTAAAATCGACTACAAGATCAACCAATATGTACTTTGAACCAGTTTTGAGATTCTTTCAAGAACGTGTTCTCATCTATGAGGTCCAGTGGGCGAGCTCAACCACTAGCTTAGTATAATAATAAGTTTCGGTAAAGAGAATAAAACTCATAACGTAGTTTTGGAGCATCTAAAGATCAAACATCCAGACAAACTAAAAATGGAATGCGAGTGAGCTCATTCCACAGCATTTCACTCATTTCATTCACATCAATCCAATTAGTTTATTTCAATGATATTTAAAAGCAAATACGTGGTTCCTTAACTCGAGAGCCTCAAACCATATGAGCTTATCGACCGAGCCTCGTCATAGCTTCTAGGCTCTTCAGGGGGGTAGGAGTTCATCCAAGCAACCTGGCTAAGCAAGAATAAAGCACACAAAGCGACTCAATTGAGTAAACCACCTCCTTCCTAAACTTTGCCATTAACAGTTCCATATTGGTCTGGTGGTGCTTTCTTCAATGTTCGGTGGGGTTTAATAGATTCTTTTATGAGCTCAGCTAGGCAATTATACAAGCCAATCCTTGACCAAGGCACACACAAGCACAAGCACAAGCACTCAGAATCCAACTCTACCAATCAAGGGTCGTAACATGTCACCAACAACTAAGAATTTCTGTAACAACTAGCTATCATACCTCACCAGATTCATATCCGAAGCAATCACCTCAAGCACAGTTAATACAACGAGTAATAATGGTTTTTCAATGTGCTCCCAAATATTCCATTCAAAACCTTTTCTTCAGATTTGTTTAGTTAAAAAAACAGCACGCACATGTTTCCTTTTTGATGTGTGGAGAAGATAGACGTGTATACTTCAGAAATCAGAAGGCAATCTGAAAGGTGATTACTAAGAGAATAGGAAATGGTAATTGGCACAATTTAACCTGCTTTATATCCTAAAGCATAGATGCTGTCTCCCTCTTTCTGTCAAAGTTGTCTTAAGTGACATCCAAAGTTCATTATTATCTTTTTAAATTCTAGTTTCTTAGCTTGCTACGTATCGACACCGGATTGGTCACTTATAATAACATTAACTATAATTTCTTTCATCACTATTCTCCTAGTTCAAAGAGATAGCTATAAGCGATAATTAATAGGACAATCACAATAGGTCATACAAAACTCCCTGACCGCAAAGGACATTATTCAATAGGACAATCACAATATTATTGACCATACAAAACTCCTCGAATTCTTTGTTAATTCTATGACAACATTAGGTAAATAATACATCGAATCTATATCAACACAATCTACAAATACCTTTCCACTGCCCGTCTGACGATTGGGTCTCTACAATCCACGTCCTGTAAGCTTCAGTATTTTTTGAAAATTAAGAGTACACAACACATTTAATATCCTACGAGTTCTTGACTAAATTCTATTAAATCGAAAAAATACCCTGAGATAAGTAGAGGGTATAATCCTGAATTAGAAAACAGTATTACCTTTTCTTACAGAAAAACGTAATTAGTATCTGTAATGGATTAAAGAATATTATTTCAAATTATCACTCTGTAGTGGACCAACAATTTTATTACACGTGATTAATGCATAAGAAACGAAAATATCACATCGGCTCTAATTGGCTAAGAATAATCCAGTTCCTTGACGTCTAACAATTACCATTCCCCAACCTAGTGGTAAAAATGCTTCCAATAAGAACTTTAGGATAGAGTGACCAATAAGAGTTTAAAGCAGAGGTTTATGTTTTCTTTAATCAGTGCACAAGTAACCTTCTTATAAATATCAGTAATTAGTACGAAATCAGATCAACCATCCAAATTTGTGTTTCTGTGGCCACTTGTCCTCCTTTTCCGGTGGAATTAAGGTTGGAGGAGAAATTGCTCAACAAACAGAAGGTAATCTTTATCTGAAGTGTCAAGGAAGGTGACAGACGAGAGGGAGCACACATAGTTCTTTTCTTGCTGGTCATGCTAGGAATTCAGTGTGCTCTCTCTCTCTCCGTCACCAGTCTTTACCTGAGTATCTTAATACCAATTTTAGTCTCCCTCTCCCTCTCTCTCTCTCTCTCTCTCTCTCAGCTTCTTCTTTCATTTTCCTACATGCTGCTTGAAGACTAACTATATCATTGTTTCTGTTTCAGTAACACATTGTTTTCCTTCCAGTTCTTGAAAGTTTGAATTCAATGTCAAATGAATTTAAAAACTATAAATTATTATCCGATTCAAATTGAACCCTTCAACAAAATCTTTACCAACTTCCTTTTCTATATTAGAAGTCATGTTGGCGGAGTAGTTTCATTTCTGGCCTTCTGTTTCTTAATTATCTTTTGAAGGTTAAAAACAATTACGGGCAACTTATATCCTTCCAGGGAAGCTTCAAGGATTAAACCAGTAAACCTTTTAGACAACATTAATATTATAGCTTACAGAACAAAGAGAAAAGTACAGAGAGAAGATGCTCAGTTTGTAAATTTATAGCATATTACTGATTTATTAGGACATGAAATGCATACATATAATCATATTCTTGTTTCCTTGCGATAAAACGATATCATGTTTGTTCATCCAAAACCATAGTATATTGCAACTGACCTTTTCAGTGATCTGAAGATCCTGAGGTTCTTCATAAGCAATGAAAGCTCATAGGTGTTGATAGAATTACCCATCGAGTTGAGTAAATTCTAAAGCATTTGCATCTGGATCTCTTGTAAAGATTGCTGGCCTTCCTGACTTGCTAAGCGTATAGGGAATACCTGCATGACCATAATTTTTAGTATTTTTTCTGTGTAAACATGAACTTTAATTGAAAAAAGGAAAACCACAATCTTAATACGGGCTACCATTTATGACTTGTAACATGAAAAGTGATGAATTATTCAGCTTTGTTAAGGAAAGATTCATACCAGCTTTATCAAGGATCACTTTCAACTTCGATACATCCCTAATTCCAATACAAGTATGACGATCACGGCCTCCATGTTCAGGTCGTCCAGATAAAGGATCAGGATTTGGAAGCTCCATTAAATGAATCATCTCAGCACCCACCCACAACCAAGCACCTCTATAAGGAAGCTTATCGTGTGGCCTTGCTTCGTTTATTTTAAGACCTATTTTCCAGTTGCAAAATTTTATATCTCCTATGAATATTGAGCATGCGTATAGTGATCCATGAAGAATTGACTTACCTAGAATATTTAGATAGAAGTGAAGTGACCTCTCGAGATTCTCACAAAGCACTCCAACGTGGTGAACGCCAACCGCTCCATAATCTGTAGAACTCATGTGTGATGCAAATGATAAAACAAAAGTAATTTAGATTATGAAAGCTTACCATTGTCAACGTCAATTTCAATTGGCTCTTTATCTTTCTCAAGCACGTCTTGTTCAATACCCCCCTTGGCCCTTGTTGTAAGGCAAATTCCATGATAGCCACCAGTCCTTCCAATTTTCCCATAAACTTTTAATGAATGATTTGTAGATAAAGAACTGAAATCGAGAAGATTCACCTGTTCTTCAGAAGAAGAGAAAGGCAAACACTCATTTAACGTTGCAAACCGAGATGATTTGGCTAAAAAACTCTATTGCAATTTCTTTTTAGACAACTATCGACTCTGAAAATGAAGAAATTGTAATGGTTTTCACTAAATTTCTACCGAACGGAGCACATCCTATCTCTAGGAAAACTTCAACTACCAAATCCGCATCCATTTTCATTACGGTCTACAAATACTCAACAATCTACAACTCAATTTCAACCGGAGAAACTCTAGTTGTAAGTAACATACACATAATCAAATTGATTCGACAAAAGAATATACGATAAAAAAGACTCTAGTTGAAGATTTCCGCTTCAATACAACCGGAGAAACTATAGTAGAAAAGACAACCTTTCGTCTCAGATGAATGGCGGATGGCGGCGTTGATGGGCTGAGAAGGGACGCCATTTCAGAGCAGAAATTTCGCCGTGATGTACTAAGCCTTCAAAGGATCAAATCCACAGTACCTTGCGCCTGGTTCACAGATCAATTTAAGCCACTGCTCGATTCTGCTCCAACTCCGATCTCGAAGAAAATTTCTGCAATTCCATTTATTGTTGTGCGTTCAAGAAGAAGAGAGATGAAAGCCACACTTTTCTGGGCACTTTCTGTAAATATGATTAATATATTTCTAATCTGCAAATATGGAAAACTATTTTGTGTGGTGGAGCATAAAATCATTATCAAATTTAAATGAAATTTTACTTAGAGAAAATAAAATATTTTTAAATGAGTATAATAGCGTGAATATAACTTATCCGTAATTGATATATATTTTTCTAAGGGTCCGCCCTTCCAACTCTCAGTTATCCTCGTATTTGACATCGAGCTTGGAAGCCAACCTAAAATTCTTCCTTGTGACCGACTGCCCTTACTTTCTGTAACGGCCCAATTATCCTCGTATATGACATCAAGCTCGGAAGCCAACCTAAAATTCTTCCTTGTGATCGACTGCCTTTACTTTCTGTAACGGCCTAATCGAGACTCCCAGTTATCCTCGTATTTGACATCGAGCTCGGAAGCCAACCTAAAATTCTTCCTTGTGAACGACTGCCCTTACTTTCTGTAACGGGCCATTCGAGACTGTCCTTACTTTCTGTAAGAATCCAGATCCATCGCTTGCAAATATTATCCTCTTTGGGCTTTCCGTGTCGGGCTTCCCCTCAAGGCCTTAAAACGCATCGGCTAAGAGAAGATTTCGAGGGTGTTTTGTTCTCCTCTCCAACCAATATGGGACATTATACTTTCGGTCTCTAACCATAGGGCACTGCATATCAAAGTCTTTATTTGGTCATGGAACGAACCCAAATCGTTGATAAATTAGTATTTCCAGCTAAATGACTAGAATTTAAAATTATATATATATATATATATTTCTAATTTATTTGGTCATAGATGACTAACGCTCGTGTGTGTATATATATATATATGTATATGTATATACAAGCGTTATCATCTAGAAAAATACGAATATCTCGATTCAAAAATAAATTATATTTAAAAATATATATTTTAAATTTTTTTTAGTCAAATATGAAAAATACATAACAAAATTATTCAGGATTCAACAGTTATGTCACCACAAATTTATCTCATAAGGATAGAGAGAAGCAAAATCGTGAGTTGTCTTTTCATGTTACTGACATGCAGTGTGAGCATAAAAGTACGAGCAGACCCTCTTTTTTTTTCTTTCAATTAGTGTAGGATCTCATCAGTAATCAATCGTGTCTCACTACCATAATGATCTCGTTTGAAGAATAGCTTTCATAGAAAAAAAAAACCTACTTTGTCCTAAAAGGGAAAAGCCGTGCATCGATTACGAGATTAGTTCTTTCTCACAGTGTCACAACTCGTCAAACCACTAATACGAGCATGAATTTATGCAATAGGTTAGTGTCTGACTCAAACACGACTCAATTGGTTAATACACTCAAATCTCGATCAAAATGTTAGAAGTTTGAATTTCTATCTTCACGTCCCCTTGAACTCTAATAATAACATAAATAAATAAAAATCAATTTAATTTTTATTGTCGGAGAAAAAAAGTAATTAGTTTGAAAAAAAAAAGAAACAAAGTAACTAAAATAAAATTATAAATTAAAGTCAATATATAAATTAAAAGTAAAATTAAATACTACGTGCAAAAACAATTTTAATGGAACTAAAATGAAAGCTTAATTGATTATGGTTATTAATAGACTTATTGAGGTTTAAATTTAAATTAATAAAATTAAAAATTAAAAATTTAGAATTAGATTTTTTTTCTCTCTCGTGCACAAGAATAATCCATGCAAACTTCAATTTAAAATAATATATTTTAAAAAGTTGAATTAAACTCATATTAATTTATTAGAAAGAAATAACTGAATATTTTGACGTGTGGGTCCCNCAAATCGTTGATAAATTAGTATTTCCAGCTAAATGACTAGAATTTAAAATTATATATATATATATATATTTCTAATTTATTTGGTCATAGATGACTAACGCTCGTGTGTGTATATATATATATATGTATATGTATATACAAGCGTTATCATCTAGAAAAATACGAATATCTCGATTCAATATATATATATATGTATATGTATATACAAGCGTTATCATCTAGAAAAATACGAATATCTCGATTCAAAAATAAATTATATTTAAAAATATATATTTTAAATTTTTTTTAGTCAAATATGAAAAATACATAACAAAATTATTCAGGATTCAACAGTTATGTCACCACAAATTTATCTCATAAGGATAGAGAGAAGCAAAATCGTGAGTTGTCTTTTCATGTTACTGACATGCAGTGTGAGCATAAAAGTACGAGCAGACCCTCTTTTTTTTTCTTTCAATTAGTGTAGGATCTCATCAGTAATCAATCGTGTCTCACTACCATAATGATCTCGTTTGAAGAATAGCTTTCATAGAAAAAAAAAACCTACTTTGTCCTAAAAGGGAAAAGCCGTGCATCGATTACGAGATTAGTTCTTTCTCACAGTGTCACAACTCGTCAAACCACTAATACGAGCATGAATTTATGCAATAGGTTAGTGTCTGACTCAAACACGACTCAATTGGTTAATACACTCAAATCTCGATCAAAATGTTAGAAGTTTGAATTTCTATCTTCACGTCCCCTTGAACTCTAATAATAACATAAATAAATAAAAATCAATTTAATTTTTATTGTCGGAGAAAAAAAGTAATTAGTTTGAAAAAAAAAAGAAACAAAGTAACTAAAATAAAATTATAAATTAAAGTCAATATATAAATTAAAAGTAAAATTAAATACTACGTGCAAAAACAATTTTAATGGAACTAAAATGAAAGCTTAATTGATTATGGTTATTAATAGACTTATTGAGGTTTAAATTTAAATTAATAAAATTAAAAATTAAAAATTTAGAATTAGATTTTTTTTCTCTCTCGTGCACAAGAATAATCCATGCAAACTTCAATTTAAAATAATATATTTTAAAAAGTTGAATTAAACTCATATTAATTTATTAGAAAGAAATAACTGAATATTTTGACGTGTGGGTCCCACCATGTCTTTGTGTGTGTGTGATATATATATATATATATATATATATATATATATATATTTAAAAAACTATATTATTTTGTTTTTTTAATCAAACGAGCATATTCCTCTGATTTTTATTTTTAAAACAAATTTGATCATAACATTTTAATAATTTTCACGCGCTTTTCAAAAAAAAAAAAAAAAANAAATCAAATACCTTGCAAATTCAACACGTTTTTTATATTTATTTAATTATATATATATATATATATATATATATATATATATATATAAATCAACGATCCTTAGCACTGGTGGATTACGGTGTAAATAATATTAAATAATTTCATTGATTCCCCACTGTTTGATAAATAATAGTAATATAAAATATAAAATTATAAAAGAATTGTCTGCGACATTTGACTACTCTAACGGTCAACTCCTCTCCGACTAATTTTAATTTTACATAACTTAATTAACAAAAATATATTTAAATTTTATAATTTATTTTAAAAATAATTTTAAAATATCTTAAAATTTTTAAGAATTGCAATAATACTCTTAAAAAAAGTCTAAAAAAATATTTTTTTAGTTATATTTAATTGGAATAAAAAGAGTTAACATTTTGTTTCAAAAATTTCTTGAGGTTTTAAAAATATTTTTTAATGTTTTAAAAATGGTTTAAAAATGTTTCATTAATATTCTTAATTTGAAAAAAAAAAAACTTTTACAGCTAAAAACAAGTTAAAAAAAATACTTTGTGAACATAAAATATTTGAATATAATCTATGAGATGGCAATAAATAGTTTTTATTCATAGATTTATGATTTTTTTACGAAGGTTAAAGGTTTTCATTTATGTAAAAGAGGGTCGATTTTATTTTAAAACTTTTATGGGTATTTTTTAAATAGAGTATAAGGGTAATTTTGAATTTTTTTTTTTATAATTAAAAGGTATTAATATAATTCTTAAAAGTTAAGGGTGTTTTTCAATATTTTTATAAAAACATTTATTTTTAGGTAACGTATAAAATTTAAGAATATTTTTATTAATTTAGCTATTTTAATTTAAGAAAAAGGGAAGTGAGACAAAATAAATATATGTATTTATGACGTAAGCATGACTTCTCTATGATTCCAGCGTTGCCAATTGCGGCCGAAATTGTGTGCTTCACGTGGGTTTCCAACGCTGCACGTGCTTCCTCTTTAGTTTTTTTTAATTGTAAATTTATTTTATTAACTTTAAATATGTATTTAATACGTTTTTAAATCGTAAAAACTTAACAAACCTTTATTATATATATATATATATATATATATTTCCGGTAAAAATTAAAAATTAAAAATATCTAATAAATTTGTAAACGTTTGACATTTTAAAACAATTAACAAATATATTAAATATGTTTTTTTTTTTTAATGTCTGACACAACGATTCAGTAGATGCAAAAAAAAAAAAAAATTATATTATTAAACTAGGCTCGGGATGATCTACAGGATTCATAACTACTTCTCCTAGTACATGACGCTTAGCTAGTCAACATTTACATGCGGTTCTACCCAAACTTTTATGGTTTACCCAGCATTCCCCACTTTATTTTTTTTTTTTTTCCATCTTCTTTGAGTTTAAATTAATATAATTTATCAATTTATTAAACACATCTTTTTAAGTCTAAATTAAATATTCTAAATATTTAATAATTAAAATGATTATTTTCTAAAAACATGTGATTCTAATAGATTAATTAAAAATTTTAAAATAAATTTAAATTTAAACTATAAAACTAATTATTTAATTTTCGTCGTTATTTGATGGTCAACGTATATCAATTGAGACGGTTTTGAATGCGACAAAATAATAGTAGTTACTATTATTTAATTATTTGAAGCTTAATTAACGTAATTATACTAATTTAAATATAATTCCTTTAATTATTAGATACTTTTATAAATTAATAAACTTTTAATATGTAGTCCTCGTGCGGTTGAAAGTTCAAATAGTCTTACCAACTATCAACCTTTGATTAATTCCAGTCAAAATTTTATTTAATTAATATTTGATTAAATATTAACCATCCAATGAAAATTTAAGTTTATATTAAAAAAAACAATTAAATTTTAATTTCAAACTAAGATACGATTGGCATGCACTTTTGAACCTTTTTCCATTTAAAAATATATTATTAAAAAAATAATAATTGGAAAAATATTAGAAAATTATTGTCACTTTTAAATATTTTTCAAAAGTCGAAGAAAATAGAAAAAAATAAATATAGAAAATGTTGAGTGTGTGATTACTTGCAGCCATGCTGGCATAATTTATTTTTAAATTATATTATATATAATTAATTTTCTTTTATTTTATTTTAAAAATAATGAGTTAAATCGCTACTCATCCAACTCCAAGTGTCAAGATTTTATTTGTCCACGTTGCCAACTCAATTGTTAGGTCGTCATGCCACCAAGTATTTCAGATAAAATACTAAAATTATTAATAATTAAAAATAGATTTGTTATCATCTAAATATCAATTAATTTCGTATAAAGCTCAAAAAGTCATTGAGGTTACAAGGTGGACTGTGACATTCTCCCCCACTTAATTTAGTAATTGTCCTCGATGAATTTCTCCGGGCACAATCGGCCCACTGATTGTGAAATTTTCCCCACTCCATCTCGCCATCGTCTGATGGCGATCTGAACCCTTCAACTATTGTTAACTCGACCCGTTGAAATTGGTTGTGTTTCAGAAAAATATAAAATTATTAAGCACCTGACTAACTTTCGTCATAATGCTTATCTTACTGACGCTTTCCGTCAGCTTAGGGACAAATTCGAGTTGATGCTTCCGACTTCTCTTTTATCATATGACACCACGTTCGGACCAAAACATAAGACACTGTGGTGAAACACTAAGCCTTCCACCTAAACCTCTTAGTAAAGACAGGATTCAAAAGAAGCTACAATAAATTCACGATGATTAGTTTTAACTCAATTTAGTTTTAAAGTAATTCGTGAACGACTCCAGCCCGACCTAAACAGTACAAGCTAGATTGGGTCGATCGAGTTTTTTCGAGTATTTCTATTCCAACCGAACACGGATGCCTAATTTACACAAGGAAAGAGACATCTATTTCTTACAAGAAATCAAAAACCCATTTGAATTCCAGCAATCATTTTTAGAAAAAAAGTTGAATAAAAAAAAGAAAAATTGAAAATCATTGAATTTAAAACAAAAACAATCAAGAACCTTCCTAGATCCTAACCCATCTCCACCCCGACGCGCCTGCCGGTCCGCGTGAACCAACTGGAACCTTCGGCTCCATCTTCCTCCTTAAAAACCCTAATCATTGACCGCGTAGGTCCCTTGGCCAATACTCATTTTTAATTTTATCCAAAAAAAAAAATAATAATAAAAAATAAAATAAAAAATAAAAAAAGGAAGTGGGTCCCACCTCCAGTCCAAGTCACCGTCAAACAATCCTCTACGCGTTCCCACTTACCCACACGTTTCTACAATCACTCTGTATGTTCATATAAATAGCATTCTTTTCTTTATTTCTTCTCAATTCCAAGTTCCATTTCACATTTGGATCATCAAATTCTCTCTATAATTGTTCTTCCGTTCATACCCACATCGAAAGATTTGATCTTTTTTTCCATTTAATGGAAATTACTTCGTTTCCATTTCTTAATCAAGACGAGTTCTTACCCATCTCCAATTTCTTCTCAGAAATGGATAATTTCAGTGTGAATCAGAGCCCCAAAAAGCGGCGGAGACCCACCGACAACGGCGACGACGGCAGCGGCAATGGCGGAAATGATTTACTAAACCATCCCTTCTGGGTTGAAAACAGAGACGAACAGAGAGAGCATTGGGTTATGGATTCCGACGAATTCCAAGTACTTTCGAAAAAACCCCGCCGTGGAACGCCGCAAAATGATAATTCTTCACCGGCTAAAGGCGGCGCCGGAGCTCATCAGCGGAGGCTTTGGGTGAAGAACCGATCGAAGGATTGGTGGGACCAATGCAACCACCCGGATTTTCCCGATGAGGAATTCCGACGGGCGTTCAGAATGAGCAAAGCGACATTCGATATGATCTGTAGGGAATTAGACTCAACTGTTATGAAAAAGGACACGATGCTTCGGGTGGCGATTCCCGTCCGGCAGCGGGTCGCCGTGTGTATATGGCGGTTGGCCACCGGCGAGCCGCTCCGATTGGTGTCGAAACGGTTTGGGCTAGGAATCTCGACGTGCCATAAATTAGTCCTGGAGGTTTGTTCTGCAATTCGTAAGGTTTTAATGCCGAAATTCCTGCAGTGGCCGGAGGAGTCAAAATTAACGAAGATCAAGCAAGAATTCGAGTCGATTTCAGGGATTCCCAAAGTGGGTGGCGCAATTTACACGACCCATATCCCAATAATCGCACCCAAAAACAGCGTCGCCGCTTATTTCAACAAACGCCACACAGAACGCAACCAAAAAACTTCATATTCCATCACCGTTCAAGGCGTTGTCGATCCCGCCGGCGTGTTCACCGACGTCTGTATCGGGTGGCCGGGATCGATGCCGGACGATCATGTTCTTGAAAAATCAGCCCTTTTCGAAAGGGCAAACATGGGGCTTTTGAACGACGTGTTCATCGTCGGAAATTCAGGGTACCCATTAATGGATTGGCTTTTGGTGCCTTATACGTTACAGAATTTGACATGGACACAGCACGCTTTCAATGAGAAGGTTGGCGAGATTCAGGCGGCGGCGAAGGCGGCGTTTGGACGGCTGAAGGGGCGGTGGACTTGCCTGCAGAAGAGGACTGAGGTGAAGCTGCAGGAGCTGCCGGTGGTGCTGGGAGCTTGTTGTGTTCTTCATAATATATGCGAGATGAGGAAAGAAAGGTTCGATTCTGAGCTGAAATTTGAGGTTTTTGATGATGAAATGGTGCCGGAGAGTAATGGGGTCAGGTCTGTGAGTGCCATTCAGGGTAGAGACCATATTGCTCATAATCTTCTGCACCATGGGCTCGCCGGCACTGGGTTTCTTTAGGGAGTTTGAACATTGATGAAGAACCTATAATTTTTTTAAAATATTTACATTCTTCTTTTGTCTATAGATCCATATAGACATAAACATGTTTAAAATTCCGTGATTTTGAAAGTATACTTGTAATTTGGTGGAACTTTTTTCATCGGTGGTTAGTGATAGCTTTACTATACATAAAGGGACGTTTTGAATTGTCACATTCTTATAAAGAAATTCGATTTCATAATAGAAGATTGAACTTGCAAACATTCTCTTACAAAATTGGTCGTGATTGAACGACTTTGCCATTGTTCTAAGGTGATGGATCGTAGGGTTATGATCGTAGTCTAGGCTGAAGTGGCCATAGCTTGGTCCATAATGGGTTTCGGCTATGGTTTTGGTTGACCCACTAGACATTTTGTTGTATGGCTTTTGACCGACCTCTTATGGGGTTGGTCTCCTATCTCAGTCACAATGAGTTGGCCCAACATTATTTTCGATTCATACTTAACGGAATTACAACATAAGTATAAATATTTAACGGAATGAAGTTCAGCTAAGTATTATTTCGTATAAAAACATTAAATAACAATAAACAAGAACATGTTCTTTGACAAAAAGAACAAGAATATAAGAACATTATAAAAGAAGGGACATAAATTCTGTCGGCTGTCTCAATTTTTGGTCGCAATGGCAATGAATGATGCATCTCGTAGAAACAGAGAGAGAGAGCGCGCGGAAATGTCGTCCGCTTTGCAAAAACAGGGGAAGGAAGCAACGAACGAACGAACGAACGAACGAATCTCCATTTCCCACATTTCAGGACGACAAATGGATTCCAACAAACAAAAAAATGTCGTCCGCTTTGTTAATTTTTTGGGGCGCCATTCTCCGACAATCAACAGGAAACAGAGGAATGTTCTGGTTTTTGTAGGAGAAATTGAAAAGAAAAAGGGGCATAAATGGAGGATCATCGGAAGGTTGAAGCCGAGGAAGAAGACGAAGTGGGAACCGCCGCCGTGGAGGAGGAGGAGGAGGAGGAGGAGGAGGAGGAAGAAATCGGAGTTGTGGGTTCGAGCTTGACTCTGGAGAAGGTGGCTGCAGCCAAACAGTTCATTGAGAATCATTACAAGGCTCAAAAAAAGCACATTCAAGAACGCAAAGAGAGGTTCTAAACATCCCATCATTTTCTTATTTTCCCTTGTAAATCTGATTCTTCCATGGTCGCTTTCTTTATTAGGATTAGAAGACAGTGGATTAAGGTTAATCTTAACACATGCAATGGTTTTATGACATGATTCTTAGACAGATTTTTTTGTGTTTTCCTTACATTTGATGCGTTTTAATGTTAAGATTTGAGGTTAATCTTAAGACATGAGAAGTTTGTAGCTGAGCTGAGTTTGGAAGTGTTTTGAATCTAACATGTTTCTGATCTTTGTGGCATGAACTCGATACAATGTATAGTGTTTTGTATGGCTTTTATTTTTCGTATGAGATCCCACGTTGGTTGGAGAGGGGAACGAAACATTCTTTAGAAGGGTATGGAAACCTCTCCCTAGTAGACGCGTTCTAAAACCGTGAGGCTGACGGTGATACGTAATGGGCCAAAGTGGACATGGGTTTGAGTTGTTACAAATGGTATAAGTGCTAGACACCGGGCAGTGTGCCAACGAGGACTTTGGCCTCCAAGGTGGATTTTGAAATTCCACATTGGTTGGAGAGGGGAATGGAGCACCCTTTATAAGGGTGTAGAAACCTCTCTTCTCGAAGACGCGTTTTAAAATCGTGAGGCTGACAGTGATACGTAATAGGCCAAAAAAGACAATATCTGCTAGCGGGCTAAAATGATTTTGGAATTTGCACTTATAACCACGTAGGATTGTTGATTACATTGGGGACTAAGTTATGGATTCTGTAATCAATTAGGCAGGTTTCTCTTAACTTCTTTTGATATCTGTAGGCGTTCCGTTCTCGAAAAGAAGTTGGCATCTTCAGATGTCTCAGAAGAAGAACAAATTAATCTATTGAAAGATTTGGAGCTCAAGGAGACTCAATACATGAGGCTGAAAAGGCATAAAATTTGTGTCGAGGATTTCGACCTTTTGACGATTATTGGTCGAGGTGCTTTCGGGGAGGTTGGGAATAGAAATGATTCATTTTGTGGCATATAATCAGGATTGTTTATTGTAATGCTTTCTCTATACAATTTTAGAGATGGATAAATAGTATTACGTGAGATCCTACGTTGGTTGGAGAGGAGAATGAAGCATTTCTTACAAGGGTGTGGAAACCTCTCCCTCGTAAACACGTTTTAAAAACCGTGAGGCTGACGGCGATATGTAACGGGCTAAAGAGGACAATATTTGCTAGCGGTGGGCTTGAGTTGTTAGAAATGGTATCAAAGCTAGGTTCGGGTGGTGTGCCAACGAGGACGTTGGGTCCCCAAGGAGGGTGGATTGTGAGATCCCAATTCCTTTTAAGGGTGTGGAAACCTCTCACTAGTAGACGCGTTTTAAAACTGTGAGATCCCATATTGGTTGTCTGCTTTGTTCCGTTACGTATTGCTGTCAGTCTCACGGTTTTAAAACATGTCAGCTAGAGAGAGGTTTTCACACCCTTTTAAGGAATGTTTTGTTCCCCTCTCCAACCGATGTGGGATCTCACAATCCACCCCCTTTGGGAGCCTAGTGTCCTCACTAGCACACCATCCGACGTCTAGCTCTGATACCATTTGTAATGGGCCAAAGCGGACAATATTTGTTAGCGGTGGGCTTAGGCTGTTACAAATGATATCAGAGCCAGGTTCAGGCGGTGTACCAACGAAGATGTTAGGCCCCCAAGGAGGGTGGATTGTGAGATCCCACATCGGTTGGAGAGGGGAACAAAGCATTCCTTATAAGGGTGTGGAAACCTCTCCTTAGTAGACGATCGTTTTAAAATCGTGAGATCCCACATCGGTTGTCCACTTTGGCCCGTTACATATTACCGTTAGCCTCATGGTTTTAAAACGCGTTTGCGAGGGGAGATGTTTCTACACCCTTATAAGGAATGTTTCGTTTCCCTCTCCAACCGACGTGAGATCTCACAATCCCATCCACATTGGGGGCTCAGTGTCCTCGCTAGCATAACACTCAGTGTCTAGCTTTGATATCATTTATGATGACCAAAACGGACAATATTTGCTAGCGGTGGGCTTGGACTGTTTCAAATGGTATGAGAGCCAGGTACGGGAGGTGTGCCAACGAGGACGTTGGGTCCCCAAGGAGGGTGGATTGTGAGATCCCACATCGGTTGTCCGCCTTGGCCCATTACGTATTGTTGTCAGCCTCACGGTTTTAAAACATGTCTACTAGGGAGAGGTTTCCACACCCTTATAAGGAATGTTTCGTTCCCCTCTCCAACTGACGTGAGATTTCACAATCCACCCCCATTGGGGGCTTAGTGTCCTCGCTGGCACACCGCCCGATGTCTAGCTCTAATACCATTTATAATGGACTAAAGCAGACAATATCTGTTAGCAGTGCGCTTGGGTACTTTTGTTTCGGGAGAATAACGTGGTTTAATGTATTTTCAGCGTTATTTTACAGGTCAGACTATGTCGGGAGAAGAAAACAGGCAACATCTATGCCATGAAGAAGCTGAAGAAATCAGAAATGCTCAGCAGAGGACAGGTAAGGCTTGACTTGTATATGCTAATTTCATTATGTTTTGAACTCCTTTTCACTTGGTTTTGAAAACATGTCTAGCTACTAGCTTTATCAACACTTAACATTGCTGAATCTATTGAACTGTGCAACATTATAGCTTTCGTGCCACGAACATGTTCGATTTACGTTCTCTCGCTTGAACATAGGTTGAACATGTCAGAGCTGAAAGGAATTTACTTGCAGAAGTTGCAAGTCACTGCATTGTGAAACTCTATTATTCCTTCCAAGATGCTGAATACTTGTATCTGATCATGGAGTATCTTCCAGGAGGTGACATGATGACTTTACTGATAAGGGAGGAAACTTTGACAGAAACCGTGGCTAGATTTTACGTCGCCCAAACTGTTTTGGCTATAGAGTCGATTCATAAACATAACTACATCCACAGGTTGGTTCATTACGTTGGTGGAATGTAACAGTCCAAGCCCACCGCTAATAGATATTGTTTGCTTTGGCTCGTTACGTATTGTTGTCAGTCTCACGGTTTTAAAACGCGTCTATTAGGGAGAGGTTTCCACACCCTATAATCGTGCTTCGTTCCCTTCTCTAACCAATGTGGGATCTCACAATCTACCCCCCTTGAGGGCCTAATGGTGCTTCGTTCCCTTCTCTAACCAACGTGGGATCTCACAATCTACCCCCCTTGAGGGCCTAGCGTCCTCGCTGGCACACTGCCCCGTGTCTGGCTCTGAAACCATTTGTAACGTGCTTCATTCCCCTCTCCAACCAATGTGGGATCTCACAAATCCACTCCCCTTGAGGGCCCAGCGTCCTCGCTGGCACAACCAATGTGGGATCTCACAATCCACTCCCCTTGAGAGCCCAACGTCCTCGCTGGTACATTGCCCCGTGTCTGGCTCTAAAACCATTTGTAACAACCTAAACCTACCGCTAGTAGATATTGTCCACTTTGGCCCGTTAGTATCGCTGTCAGCCTCACGATTTAAAACGCATCTGTTAGGGAGAGGTTTCCACACCCTTATAAAGGGTGCTCCATTCCCCTCTCCAATCAATGTGGGATCTCACAATCCGTCCTCACTGGCATACTGCCCGATGTCTGGCTCTGATACCATTTGTAACAGCTCAAGCCCACCGCTAGTAAATATTATCCTCTTTGGCCCGGTATGTATCGCCGTCAGTCTCACGATTTAAAACGTGTTTGTTAGGGAGAGGTTTCCACACCTTTATAAAGAGTGCTTCATTCCCCTCTCCAGCCAATGTGGGATCTTACCATCCACACCCTTGAGGGCCTAATGTCCTCACTAGAACACTGCCCAGTGTTTGACTCTAATACCATTTCTATCAGCCTAAGCCCACCGCTAGTAGATATTGTTTGCTTTTGCCCATTACGTATCGCCGTCAACCTCACAATTTTAATACGCATCTACTTGGGCCATTACAAATGGTATTAGAGCCAGTGCCAACGAGGACGCTGAGCCCGCTAGGGGGGTGAACTTTGAGATCCCACATTGGTTGAGGAGGGGAATGGAGCATTCCTTACAAGG